ATAAGTAACTGCAAATAGGTACGCTGCGAAATATTCGACATAAATTGAACATCGTCCTGATAAAAGGAATTCATTCGTCTTCGACAAAATTCTTGAGTTTACGAGACTTGTTCTACGTGTCTACTTATATACCTATTTTTTAATCATAACTTTTAACATATGAAAGTACTATTTGTCGCCCGCGACTGCGTCCGTGCCGTATTAAAAAAAAATGTTAATGAGTAGCCTATGTTTTCTTCAGTCAATTATCTGAATCTTTGCCAAATTTCATCGATATCCATCGAACCATTCTTAAGATACCTTCTAACAGATATCCATCCAAACATTCGCAATTATATTCGTAAGATATTAGGATATAGAATATAGTACTGAGTCTTAGATATCTATAACTATGACGAGAACGAGAACCGTAAGTAAAACGAACCCAATTTTCATATAAACCTGATACGGAACACGGAGCATGAATGCTACGCCGAATGTAATCTGGTACATATCTTGTGTTCCATTTACGTTCCGATTTCATGTCTGTTTTAAGATGATCCGACAAGCTGTAATGTTACAAATATGCAATGGATAGCAATGACTAACACCATGACCATATTAACGGTTATAAAATACCTTAAAAAACTTATTAAATAATATTAAAGTTATACATGAACATAAAACGTAAGTTGTTTTCTGCGAGATAAAGTACTAAGATTTGGGTTTGTTTCTCTCAATATTAACTTTAGATAGCCTCTTTTATGAAAATTGGGATTTATAAAAGCCAAGAGAGGTTTCAAAATGATAAGATTTATTCTTTATTCTGGCAGGCGATACGAAGTGCATTTCTGTGTTAGTTTGAAGTAAAATATATTGGTTTGCAATAAAACACGCCATTGTGCATTCTCTCATTCATCATTTTGAATTTATTAACTAGCTGTCGCCCGTGACTCCGTTCGTGCGGAATTAAAAAGACGCTTAATGAGTAGTCTATGTTCTTCTAGACTATCTTCTACATGTGTGCCAAATTTCATCAAAATTCGTTGATCCGTTGCGGAAATACCTTCAAACAAACATACATCCATCTAAACATTCATATTTATAATATTAGTAAGATTAATGTTATTAGTCTTCTTTCCAAAGGCTTGCATTTTGTAGGAAATTAAATATTACATAGCCGCGTTGTGGAACGATCTGTCCCTGGCGGTATTTCCAAACTGATACGACTTAGGGACCTTCAAGAAGCGAGCATACCATTTCCTTAAAGGCCGGCAACGCATCTGCGTTTCCTCTGGTGTTGCAGATGTCCATGGGTGTCGTTGATCACGTCGGTGTTCCCGCCGCTCGTTTGCCCCCTTCTCTTATAAAATAAAAGGTAAAAATAACTTGATTGTGGTATACCGACGGTGTAGTCGAATATTTTTTTCATTATATAATTAAATTACCACGTAGTCGTTAAATGGGTTTAATTCCAAGTAATCTTAATTGGAATCGTTGGTTTTGGAAAATTTTAATTTGAGTGCGAAATTATAATCACCTGCCGCCAGCGACTTCGTTCGCGAGGAATTCAAAAAAGAAACTCAATTAGTCTCATATGTATTCTTTCAAACATTATTCTACATCTATACCATACTCCAGCGAGATCCATATAACTGTTCTAGAGATACCTTCCAACAAACATCCATACATCCAACCATCTGAACGTTCGCAGTTATTTTTTTTTATATCATAAGGAGGCAAACGAGCGAGCGGCCACCTGAAATCGCTGAAATAGCGAAGTGACTGTTGCCCATAGACATACGCAATTGCATATGCGTTGCCTACTAATCGACGGAGGAGAGGATGCACAGAAAGAAAATATCTTCCCTTACCATGCATCCTCTCATCCGGAAAGTCCACTTCCACTTCTCATCCTTTCCTAATAAAGGAAAGGATGGGAAGGGAAAGAGGACTAAATTAGGCCTCCGGGACGCACACTCATCAGACGAAACGCGGAATAGCTTCCACTTCACGCCTGTCTTCTGTATGGTCGTGGTACTTCACCGGGTGAGCCGTGCCAATTCGTGCGAAGATTTTAAAGCGGGCTCTACCACTGAAAAAAAAAGTTATAATGTTAACAAACATCCAACAAAGACCTCTTATTTTCGACATTCTTAACCTAAATTAGACGTCAACGATTGGAACAACTGTTGACTTTAGTAACTTTCAGGACCAAATAAAATGAAATCGAGAACAAAGTAAATATACCAAAACTCTTAATATCAGTAATATGAGAATTTATTTCGTATTTCTTGCAAATATTTTGCTCACTTGAAGAACTCACGGAACCTTTCAACGGACTAAGACGTGTATCTTGAATATTTTACAGCATACGAGTATGCTAGAAATATTTTAGTTATAAATTGGTAGCAATTTACTCCGTATCATATTTATTGCACGATCATTTTGTATGAACTTATATATATGAAAGTTTATTTATTTAATATAAATAATAAACATTGGGGTAAATGTAATCTATTATTTTAGGAAGGTTCTGTAACCATAGATATCTCGATAAAATATTTATCATATAATTTATCATTTATGCTTGTTATAAAAACAGATCACAATAAAAATCCATTAGCAATTCTTTAATTGATCCATTAAGTTGTGAGTTACAGGTTGTTGAAAACGAACATCATTAAAGTCTCTTTTTAGGAATTTTTCCTATGATCAAAATGCAAGACTTGCAGCTGAAATTGTGCTTCTAGTCCCGAAACTACAACTGCTTATAAGAAGAAATTTTCGTTCCCAAATTTTTGATGATAAAGCACGAACAATCCGGATCATCGTGAAAAGCGATAAAATCATGAGATAATGGATATATTTAAGCTTTAGTAAGATGACATTTTTATCCGATGTTATTAATTTTGTAATTATATTTTGTTGGCACAAAAATATAACGAAATTAACCTTGGAAATTAAATTGGATACCTTGTTCCCAACCTAACCTTACTAATATTACTAACTTTTTTCTAAGCTAACTATGTACTCAACATATCTCGATAAAATTTGGCATAATTGTAGAACATAGTCTGGAAGAACACATAGGCTAATTATTTTTTTTACAAATTCTGCGAGGACGGAGACGCGAGTGACAGCTAGCTAAACGTCTTAAACCAATCATTATCTACTTATCATTCATATATAAGATGTTACAATGCCACAACTTAATTAAATAGAATATTAGCTAATCGTATATTTTTATACCGAACTCAAGCACATAAGTAAAGTCAATAAGCTTAATTAACTTAAGTGAAAATACTTCGGTATTTTAACATCGATATTGATATTAAATTAAATAACAAAAAATGTTTTACTGACGTAGATATAACTTTCATGTTTCGGAATATGGCTTTCAAAGCAAAAGCAAACGTTCGTGAAAGTGGATAACGATAATCTGATAAACATAGTCTCTTAGTCATAGCTCCGTGCAGATATTATTTAATTTACTTGTTAACGATACATATAAATATCTTTAAACTATTAAAAATTAAACTTTATAAACTACTAGCTGTCGCCCGCGACTCCGACCGCGCTGAATTAAAAAATAGATAGAAGCCGATTCTCAGTCCTACTGAAGATGCATCTAAAATTTCATAAAAATCGGTCAAGCTGTTTCGGTGGAGAGGAACTAACATTGTGACACGAGAACTTTATATCATCATACTCAGCCTAAACTTGTCCACTGCTGGACGTAGGCCTCCCCCATCGATTGCCACAATGCCCGGTCCTGTGCCGCCCGCATCCAGTGCACTCCCAATTTTATATATATAAATATATTATATATTTATAAATTTATTTTTAAAATCACATATTAAAATTTCAACCATGTATATAGGTTGAATATTATTCGTTGATTAAAAAATAACATTTATTAATTGAAAATGATATGCAATGTGTATCTTATTTTAATTGGGGTAATTTGTAAGGCAAATGTAAATTTTACTACAATAATAAAAGGAAAAAGATATATCAACCTCGCAAAGTAATACTTGAGTTGTTTCTTTAACAAAAATTATACAAAGGGACTCTTCACTTTATAATTTACCCAGCAGCATTTCCATTATGTCTGGTTTACATTATGCCAGTACTGTACGACAGTATCGCTGGTCTGACACAGACTAGATTTTGCTTAGTGGCGACAGTTAGTGTTTATATTATGCCAGTTATATACCAGCGCTGATTTTGAACACCACTGTCTTACTGTACTGGTATTAAAACAGGCATTATGTCGTAATAGCTGTCGCTCGCATCTCCGTCCGTGCAGTATTAAGAAAAAACTTAATTAGTAGCTAATGTGTTCTTCCAGAAAATGTTCTACGTCTATGGCAAACAAACATCTATCCATTCATCTAAACATTCGCATTTATAATATTAATATGAAGTAACGTTATTTCTTTCCACTATAGAAATACTTGAAAGATTTGAGCAATGTTGGCCTAATCACCTACCGCGCGCGCGGTCGCACGAACACTGCGCTCCGGTTTATATTTTGTTTAAAAAGAGATAAAGTGCAGAAAATTAATTTACATAATTACGATACAATCAACTTAGTTTAACTTATTGTGGTTGTGACATTTTTTTAGTGTTGAGTGCCTTTTTTAACCAATTATCAGTCGACTAACAATTAATATTAGGCAGTGTCTCAGTATCGCTTAAATGTCATAGTACAGAGTTATTGCACTTTATAGAACAGTACATAAATCGCGTCATTGTCGTACTGCAATTTTGTATAGAACTTAGCATTCGATTTATTCTACTCTGTGGCACCTGTGCTATTACGATAATGATTTGTGACCGATGTACCCACTCCGTAAAAAAGATGAAGTGGTCGTCTGCTCAAACTGTAAAAAGGGTTTTCACTATCGTTGTGTTGATTTAACAACATCCTTTTACAACAAAAACGCTCGCGAACTAAAAAGGTCATGGAAATGTCCTTTGTGCGACAACATAACTAGGCGCAAGGGCGACAAGACTCAAGCCAGTGCGCGGATGTCGTGCATCTCCCCGCCTGCCTCGACTCCACCGAGCGATGATCCGAGCAGGGAAGAACATGCACAACAGCCGCAGAACACTTCGCTCTCTTGCTCCGATACATCTCCGCCGGGAAATGCGGTTACATTGCAGCAGATAAGCAGCTTACTGGACGTAAAACTCGAAACGATGAAATCAACTTTAATGGATAGTTTTACTTCTCTCATGAAAAAACAAATCGAAAACCTTAAGGATGATTTTACACGAACAACGGACTTTCTTGCGCTGCAACAAACAGAGTTAAAGGCAAAGCTAGATGTATCGAGTAAAACAATCCTCGAACTACAAAAACAAAAGACTAGCCTTGAGGCTGAACTCACTGATGTTCAAAGAAGGTTAGATGCATTGGAAAAATCTTCGCGTAGTCTTAATGTTGAAATTCAATTAGTTCCGGACAGACGAAATGAGAACATCCTCTCGACCGTTAAGCAACTTTTCTCTGTCATTCAAGCCCCTATCGAAGAAGCAAACATTCGTTGTGTACGTCGCGTGGCTAAACTCAACCCGCAGTCCACTCGACCCCGCAATATACTAGTAACGCTAGCAACAGAAAGACAGCGTGACATCATAATATCTGCATTTAAAAAATACAACAAAAGCAATAAAAACGATCCTCTCAACACCACTGATTTGGGTATACCTGGCAATAAGCAAGCTGTCTACATTACGGAACATTTGCCGCCTTACCTAAAAAGTCTTCACGCTGAAACCAGAAAGGCTGCTAAAGAAAAAAGTTACAAATATGTTTGGATTAAATATGGCAATATCTACGTCAGGAAGGATGATACCTCTCCAGCACTCTTAATTAAGAATAGCAGTAGCCTAAGCAAACTACAGTAGTATTTACTATCATTGCGCTTACTTTCTTTTTTTCTTTTCTCATTTATATTTTAAGCTATAGCTATATCTCCACGCACTAACTTATAATGTTAATATATTATCAAAATGTTAATCGTATTCGTTCGAAATTAGATAAATTGTACTTGAATTCATTAAATTGTAATTACGACGTTATTTGCCTAACTGAAACAAATCTTAATAGCGGAGTCTTCGACTCCGAAATCCTGGACAGTCGTTATAATATTTATCGTAGGGATAGAATCTCAACTATTAATAAAAAGACCGAAGGAGGTGGAGTCCTTGTCGCTGTAAAAAAACACTTTATAGCTGTCAGACAATCTATGTGGGAAAGCAATATTGAAGATGTCTGGATTAGTATTTCCCCTACGAGTTCTAATAATCCCATAATTCACATCTCTGTCTGCTACTTACCAGGAGGTGAAACATTATTATAATAACTTAAATAAGGTTCTTTTGAATTTAAACTCAAATCATGAAGTAATGATTCTGGGTGATTTCAACATCCCGGAGATGGAGTGGTCCTCCTGCCCTACTGCTAGT